AGGAATGTTATCAGTTCTCAACAGAGATATGAGATGGTAGCCTTGTGGAGGGTGGATAGCCACCATTCTAGTGTGCAACAGTCTCTTGTAATATATCACATCCAGACATGGGACTCACTACATGACTCTATTGTTAGAACTATATTTGCCATATTTAACAGAGAAAGAAAAATAAAACTCTGTACCCAGTTTTTTTTCCCGACTGCCTTCTCTTTTTTGTTAGTAGTTCCTTGCTCCCACTTGAGCTTAATCCTCTTTAGTGTATACCTTCCAGCTCCCTTAACTAACACTTACTCAAATAAGACTAACTCTGGGCTAACTAATTGACCAAGAGTTTCTTCAGTTCATAACACCTCTGGGACATAGATATTTTTTCTATTATAATTGACATGATGAACTCTGATAGAAAAAGATGTATAGTCTACCAATACTGAACTTACTTTTTACACTAATCATTTTTAGAATGTTATATAAACAAGGAAAATGTAGAATGCCTATTCTTCATACTTTAAAAACATGTCTGGAACTATTTGAACTAACTAAATGTAAAATAATTGCCATAGACAATTATACCATACTTTTTCTTTTTACTTAAAAAAAAAAAAGGAAATGAAAACATGCTATTTCTAGAAGGCCCTGCCATTGAATTGGATATTGAAATGGTATCAGTACGTATTTATATATGTCACACTTTCTTCACCAGCCATTTTTGGTACATATGTGTTAGATGTTTTCCACATGAATTGAAATGTTACCACATAAGGAAAATCTTGTTTAGAAGTGGTGTGGTTCATTAAGGCAGAAGTCAGTCCTTTTGATTATACATACATTCCTGATCTGATAGAAATTGTTTTTCTTTTCTCTTTTGTTTTATCATTTTGTGTCAATCTTTCAATAAATGTCAGCATTCTCCTGTAGTAACTGAAAATAGAAATTATGTACAAGGACAGTATAATTTTCATGAACTTAAAAAATTACATAAGAAGTATTATAACTTAATATTGGTTTTACTATATCCTCTAATTTGAAATGGAGTGAAATGCTTCTGTGGTTAAATCAGCTCATTTGCTGTTTGCTATAAAAGTTTCAAGAATATATATTTCAAAATGTTTTTCTTTTTTCTTTCTTTCTTTCTTTCTTTTTTTTTTTTTTTTTAGTAATTCAAAACAAATGCAACAGAACTCAGCATACTTGAAACATATTTTCTGAATTTATCTTAAATCTTTCTACCCCAGAGAGTTTTTGTGTGTGTGTGAGAGTCAGGCCTGGCTGGTTATTTCGCCATCTATCTCCATCTTGGATTGATTGTACTGAACAGCACAGAATGAGTTACATATGGTCCCGCTTTGCCTAAGTTTGTAGGATCTCTGGGTTGGAACTCCATTTGATCAGAGCAAAGCTAACTATCTCAGAAATTTGGTTAATATCAAAATCCTAACTATCTACATATATTCCTGTTTGAATGTATATATTCCTGTTAGAAGTTGTGATGGTTTGCTATGCATTGTCTCAGTTGTTATTGTTCCTAAAATAATAGATGACATTTCAAGAATTTAAAATGATTTAGCTACTTTTATTATCATTATTTTCTTCTGGATAGGAATTACGTTACAAATGTGGACCAAGACATGTATTAAAAATGTTTTCAAGTGAAAATTATGTTATATCAAAAATCTTTCTAATATTGAACAGATGAAGACAGAAATACAAAGAGTGTCTGAAGTTTGAAAAGGAAACCTATTGTCAACTTAATGGTTTATTTCTCTTTTTCTTAGTGTGGGCTATTAAAAAAATAAAAATGAGTTTAAGATGTTTTCAAGTTTAGATATTGCTCAAGAACTCCGTGAAGGTAAGCAAGGTAGGGGCTGTGTCCCCTGAGGCTCGGATCTTAGCTGCCGGGGTAAACAAAGCCGTCCAGGGTAAATGTTCCTCTGGCTCTTTTCTCCCTGTTTTGGTCTTTCCTCCCTGTTTTGGTCTTTCCTCCCTGTTTTGGTCTTTCCTCTTTTTATTCTTTTCCTTCTACTACTATATTTATTTTTTCATTATTCCCACTTCCCAATCCCCTCCTTCCTCTGTCTGTGCAACTGCGTGCTTCAATCTGTGTATCTGGACTGGCTTCTCTCACAGTTCAGTGTGAGTGTTAGCAGAATGAAAACCAGATGGACCAGCAGTTCCCACTGTTATCTCCCAGCCGACTCTGGCAAGCCTCCCTGTAGCCCTCCTTCCTTGGCATGACAGAAATATTTGCCTTTATTTAGTGAGACTTGTATTTGTTGCTGTACCTCTTCCCTCAGCTGCAAAATAAGTGGAAAGCTATTTTATCCCTTGTTGCTGAGGTTGGTTGAGGTGAGTAGACTGTGGAGTGAATTTAACTATTGAAGAAGTGATTTTAAACCTGCCTAACCTCTGTGTTTTTCCAGAATAAGTGATTTGCTGATACTGGTTTTGAAATGATTTGAAATAGCAATAGGAAGACAATTTTTAACAATATGATAAAGGTGGAAATGTTTTCCTTCTGTGTCTTTACCATCGTCTCACTCAGAACACTTATTCACTACAGAGACATTCATTGTTATTCGACTAGCAGTTAGAGATTAACAAATAGAGCTCCTGATACTGTTAAGTAGATTATCTTTCAAAATGCTATTATTAAAATGGTGTTGATTTTCATTTTTTTATTACATCTTCCCTAATATGATATCGACATTATTTCAACTTTTAAATATTGTGTTCTATTAAAACCCAAGTCTTATGAAACTGCTTTGAATAAAGGTGAAGTAGATTTGAAATGGTCAAAGTAGCAATTTAGGCTTTTCATTTTCTTTTAATAATTGACTTTAAAGTAATTTTGAGTAATTTACTGTGTACTCATATGGTTATCATAATGTTTTAAAAGATCCATTCTTTATCAATAGTCTGTTCCTTTATTTTTGAAATAGTCCAAGTGGATAATATCTGTGTCTAAGGCTGCAAGAGGCACCTCAAACATATTTGGGGTGTGTGTGTATATGTGTATACACATATGTATACATGTATGTAGAAAATAGGATCTAAAGAAACAAACAAAAATTTCTATTTTTTTCTTGGAGATTTGATAAAGAGATTAAAATGAAAAAAAATTGAAATTTCAAGGGAAAAGTCTACTTAGTAGAAAACAGTCCTGAAGTGTAGATGTTCATTGTTTGAATAATCAGGAAATTTCTCCATACCTGTCACCTAGTCATGATTAAATATGAGGAGGGTCCTTAGTTCTTTTTACTTCTCAATTTGGGACTTTTCCATTCTTAATCTGCTTGAGATTATTAGTTGAAATATTTTCTAATGTTTTTAAAGTAGTGGGTCATAAACTCATGTATTCTAAGTAAATAATAGTTTAACTTCATCATGACATATGGCATTTAGGTAGTGGTGATTTATCAAACATAGCAGATAAAATTGAAGTGAGAGAGATGTCCTGGAGATGTAACCTGGTTCATCTAACAGGCCAGAAAACTAAGCGTAGAAAGAGGATGGGAGGTGTTACAAAAATCACCAAACTCTGGCTCCTTATGCAGTACCTTATCTGCATAACAGAGCTTCAGATTTGTGTTATTTCTGAGCTGTTTGAGAGGTTCATTACCATCTTACTTTCTCATCTATTCTTTACCTCTTGTTAATGTTGGCTTCTTTGAGTTAAGTTGTGCGGTTGCATATAACATTACCAAGGTAACATCTGCCCAGGCCAGAAATAACAATAGGATGTAAAATAACCCAGTTACAAATGAGGTCCTGCCATCTGTCCTATACCTTCTTAAATAGGGTTTGAGTAATAAAGTCCTGACTTAAAATTTAGTAGATAAGTCTTTTTTATTGATAGAAGATTTTGGATTTCTTCTGTTTACTTACTTGTGAAAAAGATGAACCCCTCTTAAAAAACAGAGGTGCTTAAGGAGGAAAGTAACATGTTCATGGTGGCATCCTCCAGATCGGACTGAGAAACACTCCACGATGCCTGACTCACCTGTGGATGTGAAGACTCCGTCCAGGCTGACTCCTCCCACGATGCCACCTCCCCCAACAACTCAAGGAGCCCCGAGAACCAGTTCATTTACACCGACAACATGTGAGTAGGCATTTCTGCATTTCCTGTTTTAGTTTCTGGAAATAAAAAGAGAAAAGAAGACCCAGCACCAATGAATTATGCAGAAATGAAGCAAAAAAAAAATCATTAATTTACCAGTGAGTAGATATTAAGCACAGATGTGTCACAGCTTAAGTATAATTTGTATGACTGCCAATATTTGCTTGCCTTTTCATGATTGCTTCAAAGTTGTGGTCTGCTGTGATGTCAGCGAATGAAGAATACTATATTTGGTCTGTAACTCCAGTTGTTACCATTATAACTTTTAATTTGACTTAATATGGAGCTCTTTATTTTAGTTTGTTCATTTTGACTTAGAAGATGTTAATATCCTATGATTATTTCCAGATTACTTCTGATCTAATACTACTTTCTTCTACTATTATTAATCATGTTAAAATATAACATTTTTAGGTTAAAATGATAACAATGTAATATTTGCACATACAAAAAAAAAAAAAAGACTTTATACAACAGTTGCATACAGAGAACTTTCTGAAATAAGAGCCTCTTTCTTGTCTTGAACCTGTCAGACTTTTACAAAACTTTTACTCCGTTCCATCTTGGCTCAAGCCTTGTGTTCTGAATCAATGGAGTATATTGCTTTCTGTGTCATCTAAGGAAAGGACAGAATATTCTGATAGGATAGCAACTTCCCTTTCTTTCCTGTTTTGTTTTATTGTTGTTGTTGTTTTGTTTTGTTTTGTTTTAGTAGTGATAGATAGCTTTGTTTTCATCAGTCTCAAAGGCCTGGTTAAAATTGTCATCAAGGATTTGTGAAATGAATAAATGCTATCTGTTGCAGATAATACTATTTATAGGCCATGTGCCATGGAATTTATATGAATAAAACATAACTAACAGGCAAAAATAAATTCATGGGATTAAAAGGGATTGACAGAGTACATATCTCAGGCTGTTTATCCAGTGATGCACTGCCATTTAAAAGACCTTCCCAAACTTGTAAGGAGCTAGAGGCTGCAACACTGTCAAGTTGCAACCCTGTCATCATGTATTTGGTGTGTTGTTACCCAAAGCCACAGTGATAGGCATATGTCTTCTGTGAGAGGTCCTAATGAGCTATCATTTCTTGACCGTTTGCTTTGGTACTCATTTAGACAAAACACTATTTTTCGCTTTCTTGAAATTTTAAGAATAATAGAATACTTATCTTCAAACTCTTGTTTAGATAATTTATCAATATTATATTTAAAAAACGGATTTAATAAAGATAAATGTGTCAAATTAATTGATTTAATATTATAAAATCAACATTTCTTTAGTGAGAAATGTGTAAATTTTTCTAGCTTACTTCTGTGGATTATCATCTTGATTTTCATATAAATTTTATTGGAAATGAATTTACTGAATTACCACCAACCATGCTATTATTTGGATGGAGATGTACCCTTTCAATTTCTTGAGATAACTTCTTGATAATTACCATATCCATTTTGGTTTTTTACATAAAATTTGCATTTTCCCTAAAGAAATGGTTAAGAAATACAGAGGGAGAAAATAGCCTTCTAATTGGGTGGTATAAGGTTAAAACTTGAAAGTCCCATTTCTATAAACACAGCTGTCAGTTGTGTGTACAAAACATGATTAAAAATGTTCAATGATAAATTTAGTCCCCACCAAATGTACACTTTTTCTAGGGGAGCAGTTTAGAAAGAAATAGTCCTGTTATATTGATGTAAGCCAGTGACAAAAGGCTGACATCCAAACGCTGTTTGTTCTATGTTTGAAACATTACAGGTGGTTGGCATATGTGCACATTGGAGGCAGGCCGTCAGTGTTACAGCTGACTCCATTTATAATCAGCTTCCGTGCAGAACACCCTCATGCAGTTTGAGGAGTGGACCCATTTAATAATAGAGTACCTGAGCCTGTGGTCATCCTGTGAAGTCAAAGCATTTTACAGAAAAGGCTCAACAGTTTTGAAATTACAAAATCCACCAGATTTAAAGGGAAGGAGACTCGGTTGTAATTTCCTTGTGCATTTCTCTGTAAGTTTATTTTTTCTTTCTGATTTTGTGCTCTTGACAGTAACTAATGGCACGAGCCATTCACCCACAGCCTTGAATGGTGCCCCCTCGCCGCCCAATGGCTTTAGCAATGGCCCTTCCTCTTCTTCCTCTTCTTCTCTGGCTAACCAGCAGCTGCCTCCTGCTTGCGGTGCCCGGCAGCTCAGTAAGCTGAAGCGGTTCCTTACCACCCTGCAGCAGTTTGGCAATGACATTTCACCGGAGATAGGAGAGAGAGTCCGCACCCTCGTGCTAGGACTGGTGGTAAGCAAACAGAAAGCGGCCGGTTTTCTGGGGTAGGGGAGAGTGTGTGTGGAAGATTCCAAATACAGACTCCTTTCTAACAGCAACTGTTTTTTTCTAGTAGTTTCTATCCCAGGAGATTGCTTCAAGTCTGATAATTCTATAGTAACAAGGTTTTCAATTCTGCATTCTGTACTGAGCCCCACCATGGTTTCTTTTACTATTTGACTAATAGAGATATGCTTATACAAATTTATTGTTCTCTTGGCCATAAATGTGTATGTGTGTATACAATTCAATAAGTGTATCCTCCTGGCATGGCTGGTGCCTTTCAACAATGACAACGTATTTTTGTTATGTTAATGATTCACTCAATCTAATTGGGTGCTCATTTTAATTTAGTTGCCTTAGAGGATTTTATTATCAGCCTAGAGGAACAAGAATTTACAACAAATAACAAATACTTCTTTTATGTGTTTTCATTTTTAGGGCTAATAATATTAAAATTTTTTTTGTTGTGGTAAAATATATCTAACAACTAAGTGTACAGTTCATTGGCTTTAAGAAAACCCACACTATTGTGGAGCCAGCACCACTATACATCTCCGGAACATTTTTACCACCCCAAATTGAATCGTTGTACCCATAAAATAATAACACCCTGAATTTCTCTCCCCTTAACCCCTGTTAACTGCTAATTGGTTTTTGAAAAAAACAAACAAACATTTTTTTGTTACAGGTAGAATTACTTAAATGATTAGTTTGAGAATAGAAGTATTGATTTGAGCACATTATAGTACATTATGTACATAATCACACTGAAAATTAGAACATATATTATTTTTTAGGGTCCGAACTCACTTTTCCATTTACTGTGATTTTCTCTATGAGTAGTGGGTTTTCATTTAGGAAGGCGGTTTTTCCATAGCAAACTGAGTCATGTAGAAGCTATGAGTCATGTATTTAGTCCTTTTATCATCTGGGCTTATGGTGGAACTGAGATTCAGATGATAGGCAGCAGTTTCCTTTTTCTTGAAATAGATCACTTTTTTATTTTCGTGGATTTATTGTGGGCAAAGATATACCAGTTTCTTTTTGCCTAAGAAGTCTGGATGAGAGTCTAGTGTAGTAGACATGCTTCAAATCACAATATCTCACATTGACAAAGATTTTGCAATTCAGTTTCTAAACGTGGCCTCCCTCTCCTCTGCACTCTAAGAGCAAAATGCTTTCACATTCTCCACAATCCATCAGCTTTACCTTGTACTTCTCCAGGACAGGTAAGTGATTTTGACAGAAGAATGTTAGCATACTCTAGTTACTTTTGTTAGTCACTTACCTTTTCCTTTTTACTCATTCTTGAGTTTTGCATAATACCTAAATAAGTTAGACTGAAGAACCACAAAGTAAATCCAAAACGGTAATTATATCAAGAAAATGTTTTTTTGACAACTGCTTTATAACTTTGGTATGTCCTTTAACAATGTTTTCCATAACTTAAATATAGAAAAATCAAGTAGATTTTCCCACATATTAAGTAGCATACTTTTGATGGCAATACTTTTTAAAATATATTTATCTAAAAACCTTATAGAGATAAGTTAGGGGAAGACATTAATTGATTAATAGTGTTTCATATGTAGTGTTTTGTATGTAATAGGCAGTGAACATTTGTCAAATGAGTGAATGAGTGGATAACAGATTTTGTTTTGAGCATTGACTGTAACCTTTTATACATGCTGTTTCATTTAAATCTTGGTACCATCCTAAGGTAGTGATT